AGTCGTTGCCCTCACTTACCAGGTAAAACTCTTGATCATTGTTTCGCTCTTACTCGGTAAGATTTTTCATCCTTACCATATTCATCGGAAAAGGTAAAATGACTTGGTGTTCACTTACTGGAGTAAGTGTTTGGTAAACGGCCCCTACGTGTATATACATTAGTTACATATCTATATTTTATTGTAGAAAAACAAAATGTAAAATTTTATTGTAGAACAAGGGTTGGATTTTGATTTAAATGGAAGTCATAGTGAAAAGAGTAAGGAGAGATCTTTACCTTTGGATCAACAATAACTAAAGACCGACACCTAAGAGATGCACTGAGATACGCCAGACCAATTCTCGTGAGAAGCAAAATTTATGGGATGTCAGTAAGATTAAAAGTGATAAATGGTCCAGATATCTTTTATGCCTCTCACTTTAATTTCTATTCTCACACGATTATTCATCCGCAGAACAAACATAATAACATAATAGATTTTCTCATTAAAAAGAAAAATCTAAATTTATTTTTAAATAAAATAAAGATAACAATCATCAATAAAAAAATTTAAATACAGACTTCCTGTACAAACCAGACAAATGAGATATTTATGAAAATAATCAGAGTTTATTTATTATAATTTACTATTAATTATTATTAATGTGTTAGATAAAAAAAAACAATCCAAATATTTATAAAACCAGATATTCACTAGACTATATGAACGATTAAGATTGATTTGTACTAATTAAAGGATCTATACTTGAAACTACCTATATATATATATATATATATACATATATATGTGTGTGTGTGATTTATACTGTTGTCACATAAATTTGATCAAGTGGTATATATAAATGAAATATCTAAAGATAGAAAAAGACATTTCATGGTAAGGATTTTGTATTTATGTGAGAAAACAAGGAAGTCATGGAAACCTAAATACGTATTAAATAAACATATTTATATATATTCAGATAAAAGATATATTTATACAGTATCTTAATTATTATATACGCAGTTCTGTAACTATATCTGTTAAAATGTCACAAAAAACACTAGAAATATATTTGAATGGACGAATCTAATCCTACATGCTTGTAGTTGATCAAAAGCATTATGCAATTTTTGGTTGCAGTCAGTAATATTTTATTAAATACTCGTACTTCATAATCGATAAAATTCGTTTTTCAATATTTTGTAGGACGATTACAAACAAAATTTGATATCAGCATTCACAAAAAGAGCTATGTATCAACGTACATAACTAGACCTAACACGATTTTATATACAAAAACTTCAATCATTTCAATTTGATTGAAACGAGAAAAAAGAGGTAATATCTATACGTAAATTTAATCCGAATTACCATGAATTTGAATGACCAAAAATATTTAATAATTTTATAATATTTCAATATTAATTATCTATACTATATTATAAAGCATTTGACAGAACTCTTAAAAATAATTTTTTATGCATAAAGTACTGTATATTAATGCATATTAATTAAAATTCAAGATTACAAATAAAATATGTATAAGTACAACTTATTAAAACTCGATTTTTGAATTCCTATAACTAACTACGGATAAACATAATCAAATAGAGGATAAACATCTCATTTTAAAATATAAAAAATCTAAAATATAATTAAGATAATTATCGAGTTCTAACGAAATAATTAATTATTATTTTTATAAGAAAATTATATTATTAAACCAAAAATAGAAAAAAATGCATTACAAAAATACACAAAGAACAAAAAAAAATTAATTAGTTAGTTTGGTACTTTTTTAAATATTTTATAATATTTTCATATATATATTTTATTCAAAAATAAAAACACTGTCACTTTCTCAAAACCACATAAAATCGTATTATAACGTCGATTGAGACAAAAATAATAATAATAAAACAATAAAAATCAAGATATATCTCGCTGCATTGTGCGAGTATCATTCTAGTATTATTAAAAATTAAATTTGGTAAAAAAAGATTATATTCATTTTAATAGTTATCCATTTTAAAAATTATAATATTAATTATATTATTAAAATATTTAATATAATTTGTAAAATGTTATTATCTCTGTTAAATATTTAATTTAAAGATTTTCATTGATAGAAAAAATAAATAAAAATCTATTTTTTTTCTTTTGTAAACAATCATTTTTAAAGAGTTTTCGAAATTCAGAGAATTTATATTTCTTCTCCTACTTTTTTCATTTTAAAGAATTTATTAAATTAAAAATTCTTAAAAATCTCTATTTTAAAAAATTTGTTAAAAATATTATAACGAAAACTACAGAAAACATCATTTTTCTGAAAAAATAAGATGATTTTTAAATTTAAAAATATTAGGCGCATTAGAGTAATGTGAAAGTTGTTATGAAGTTCAAGCCTAACGCATGAGTGGGTCCAACAATCTGCCACACTTCTCTTTTAAATATTTATCCAATATTATATATCAATTATTAACTTATTCTGATATGATATTGATAGTAAAAGTTTTTAGTGTTTGAATAGAAAAAGAAATACTCATGAGTTGTTTGTTTATCTTTTAATAGTTTCATGAAGAGGTAACTTATGAATCGTTAAAAAATGAATTTTGTTTGGCAAAAACAAATGTCTGCCTCTTAATGGTTTTAAATGATTTTGCATCTTGGACCTCCTTTAACCATTCAGTGTTCTAATTTCATTGTTAGCAATTACCAAACAATTATATTTCATTTTGCACTATATCATGATAGTCTACTTAATCATTCTACACCAAACCATTTAGCAACTACCAAACAACCCCTCATACCGGTTTCACACTGATAATAAGAATTTTTTGATAAGTTATTCCGTTCTAACTTATTAACTTATTATGGTGCCGTACTAGTAATAAGAAGTATTTAGTGTTTGGATGGAAAAAGAAAGAAATATTTATCAGCTTATTACGTTTTGGTACCGTCATAAGCTAATTCAAACACTTTTTATAGAACTCCGATTTGACACCACCTAACTTGATAAACACTTCTACAAAAAAAATTAATTGTTTTAAATAAGCAATCCCAAACACCCCTTATATATATTAAAAAATATAATTAAGACATTGTTTATGTACGGAAGGTTGTGGAAATTAAATTTTTTTGTAACCTGTTGCATGATATCAACAAATTAGCGACAATTTCACAACATCGTAAAAGACCGTCATAAAGTTGTTGAAAAATACTAAATATTCTCATTTCTGATGTGTTTTTCATGATTCCATCAAGATCATAAATTGTAATAACCGATAATATTTTGTGTACATTTTCGTCATAGACCAAAGATTCAATTCGATTTATTTGTTTTCTTAAGTAAATCATCTCCAACAGTCGGCTGGGCGAAGGTTAGGCATCGGGGTTGTCACCGAGAGTGAATGAATGCTATGTAATTGGCAGTAGGGACTAAGCTACATGTTGGATGCGTCGATCCATGTTTTGGGATCTCATTTCAGTCAATTTCTTCTTGTCACAAAGGGGATTTGTTAAGGGCAGTAGTGAAAGTCCAGTGATCTTGAGAATTAAGTAATTCAACCAAGAACAACTGAGTAGAATGCAAAATCAATAAGAAACTAATCAAGGATGGTTCGTAGAATCATCCGTGTTGCATTATAAACGTTTATGAATACATATGAACATATATGTAACTTATTAACTAATCTTAGTTCGTGGCTTTCACATATGAACATACGAGAACACTTATGGACACTTATTTGCATCTATTAAAAAACTTAAGAACACTAAAGTAATTGACTTTCACATGTGAAGACAATAATATATGATCAAAGTGTTTCACTTGTGAACGCATATTTACCAAATGTTAAATGTATATAGATATTGTATTATGAACACATTGGAACATATGTGAACAATATATACACCATATGAATATTGACAACTACATATATGTTGAAGATAGAACATTCAAGTTTCTTCTCATATTAAACTAACAAGTCATCTATAATATAATTCTTTTGAAAAAAGTTATTAATCCTATAGATAAATATATAATTAATAATTAAACTAGAAGAGTACTCGCGCAATGTAACGAGACACATCTCGATTTTAATGTTTTATTTTAGTATTTGTCTCTGTCGATGTTATAATACGATTTTATGTGTTTTTAAGAAAGTAATAATGATTTTATTTTTGAATAAAATATAAATTTGAAGATATCATAAAAATTTGAAAAAAAATATCAATATTAATATCAAATCAACTATTTAAAAGTTTTTATTTTTTTTATGTAATTTCTTTAATTTTTTTTAATTATAATTTAATTTAACTTTAATAAAAAAATAATTTATTTTTTGTTTAATATTATAATTTTTATAAAAATAATAATTAAGTATTTTGTTAGAATTCAATGATTATTCTAATTATATTTTAGATTTTTTATATTTAAAATGAGATGTTTATCCTGCATTTAATTATGTTTATCTGCAGTTAGTTACACGAATTCAAATATTAAGCTTTAATAAGTTGTACTTATGCACAATTTACTTGTAATCTTAAGTTTGAAGTAATATGCATTAATAAACAATACTTTATACATAAAAAATAGTTTTTAATTTTTTTAATGAAATAATTTATATTACGATTGAATAATATTGTCTCCAAGTGATTGTTTTCAATTTGGAGCGTGGCCCACTGGAAAAGAATCTAACGGTTAATACATGAAATACGTATGATGCCCACAGAAAAGGTCCTCACTGGGATAATGTTCATGGCCTGGTCACCATCCATGATCAGAACTCTATTAAATATTTCCTGGTTTTGGCATTTCTCTCCTCCTGATCTTCGCTGCGTACATCTTTTTGGGTCCTTTTCCTCGATTGCTGTTGATAGAATCCATCCATCTCATCTGAACTCATCTGATCTACCCTTTGGAGAGAAGTGCACATCAACTGCTTGTTTTATTGTTACACCTGCCACACCTAGATTTGACGTTTCCTCTTGTTAATTTGTTTCTTGATACCAAAATGGCTGGTCACTGTACTTTCTTGCCTGATTTCTTCCATCACCAGTTTGGGGAAACCACTTTCTTGTCACCTGGTGCTGACGACGTCGTCTTCAGTGTCCTCGAAGCTGATCATGATCATCTGGAGGGAATTTCCGGTGGTGTGAATCCGGTGGTGTCTCGTAAGCTGGATCTTTCATCGCCTAAAAGGAAGAGACAGAAGCTGTCTGTGGTGGAGGCTGACGGTGGTCCCAACTCAGATGGCCGGCAGAAGGTGTCGCATATGACGGTGGAGAGGAACCGGAGGAAGCAGATGAACGACCACTTGAGTGTTCTCCGTTCACTTATGCCTCGCTTCTATGTCAAAAGGGTAATTAAATCATCAAAACACTCCCCTTAGACGTAGAAAAAAGCAATCTTTGACCGTTTCTTGATTCCACTTGCTCTCTTTCTTGATCATCATATGTGAATATGTTGTATGAAACTTGCAGGGAGATCAAGCATCAATAATTGGAGGAGTAGTTGATTACATCACTGAATTGCAACAAATTCTACAAACCCTGGAGGCAAAGAAGCAAAGAAAAGTTTACAGCGAAGTACTGAGCCCTAGGCTTGTTTCAAGCCCCATGACCTTATCTGCCTGCCCCCTTAGCCCTAGACCAAGCTTGCCCATTAGCCCCAGAACCCCACAACCAGCAACCCCATACAGGTCATGTCTGCCAACTTCTAATTCTTACCTATCTCCATCCATATCAACTTCACTTGACCATTCATCACCTGCTAATTCTTTCATAACTAATTCAGAAGGTGGTAATGACCTCATGGCTAATTTAAAGTCGGCCATTGTTGAAGTTGAGGTGAAGTTGGTGGGCGGTAATCTCCTTCTAAAGACTTGCTCCAAGAGGATACCAGGCCAAGCAACAAAAGTAATAAGGGTTCTTGAAAACCTGTCTCTTGAAGTTCTTCAGGCCAACATTAGTATTGTTGATGAAGCCATGGTTAACTCCTTTACCACCAAGGTAATTTAACCCAAAGATTTGATTTTTCATATATATGAATTTGCATGCATGCTCTACTTCATGTCAAAATTTGATCAAGTTCTATAACACAAATAATGAACACTAATTTGACTGTATGATTCAGAAAAATGATGCTTTGCTGTCTTAATTGATTTGTGGGCTTTGCTTTCTTGGTAGATTGGAGTTGAATGCCAGCTAAGTGCAGAGGAACTTGCTCAACACATTCAAAGTTCATTCTGCTAACCTTTACCTATCATGTTCGTTTTCCATCTTAACTCTGATCCTTTACTGTGACAATCATCTCGTTTTGAGATCATATCCGATGCACGCTATGGTGTATCCGATCCAATGTACGTATCGGGAATGATGTTGAAACAATCAAGAAGGCTACAAGCCTAAAAAATAAAGAAAGAAAAGCTAGGCAATGGTAGAGACTCGACTACAAAGCTCAAAACCCTAATTAACCCTTATCCAACTCCCAGCAAAAGAATTTTTTGGTTGATTAGTTTAACTTTTGTCTTGATCGTCCTCGGATTATATTGATCGTTTTTTATTCTATTTACTTGACTTATATACATCATGACCCATCTCAAACGTTTATATGTAGCAGGGTTGGTGTGGGAAACCTAGCTAGGGCTTTGACACCTGTGTGTTATATATAGATTCATATGAGAATCAAAAATGATTTGAAAATCAAATTTATAGTCTATATTCATTAATGAATTTACTCTAAATAAATCTCATTAGTTAATGTGTTTATCGGCCAATGAATGTATAATATATATATATATATATATATATATATTCATTGATGAATATATTTATTTGTATTTGTATTATGTTAATAAGTATATTCAACAATATATGAACACATATATAATAAGAAGAAATTTGAATACATATGCAACTGGTACAATTGTAAATGTTTTGAAAATCGGGAAACAAACTATTTAATGTATTATTTACGATATATAACACTGAATAATCATTAATACCATGCATTTTTATTATTAATATTATGAATTTTCATTGAATAATTTTCTTCATTAATATCTTACACAACATGTATCATGAATAATTTTCATGATTCAAGGTTATTCAGCATGAATAATGAAGTGGTTGATGTACGATTCTTAAAATGTTTATAGTTCTCATTTGAACCCACCCCTCTATATCTACTAGTAAGCTACCCGCACGATGTTACGGTGTGCATCTCGATCTAAAGCCGAGAACACAAAAAAGTCAATCATGTTTCATTTTTATCTTTTTTTATCCATCCCAATGCTAGTTCATATACCCGTAGCTACCTGCACGATGATGCAGTATGCATCTCGATTTAAAGCCGATCACTTAAAATGTCGATCATGTTCCATTTTTTTCCCTCTTTTTTGTCCATCTTGATGCTAGTTGTATACTCATAAATATTATAGCTACGTGTAAAATTTGAATATATGTAAGCAAGAATACCAAGTACAAATAGGTTTTTACCAAATAAAATATATATGGATCCATTTGAATGTGAGAAAGAATAAAAAAACTAATTAATGTTAAGGTTGTGAAAAACATGTTTTCTTGTGTGAAAATGATTAATAAATAATGTTGTTAATTACAGACCTTCATTATATTCATCAGTTTTAACTTTTCTAAGACTCTTGGGGTTAATCGGGGTACTTACAGCAACTAGTCTTAAAGTTTTTTTTAATTCAAAAATAGAATGCAAGTTGAAAAATAATTATTGGTTGCTACCATGATTTTTTTTTTGATTAACCTGGATATCCAACCCGCTATGCGCGCCAACTAATCCCAGAACGACCACCTACTTTCCAGATAGTCCGGAGTCACCGCATTTGAACCTCCATGGCCACAAAAGGAATTTTTATTCCTCATTTGATTTGAACATGAGACCTCCTGGTACTTTTAATCTTTGGAGCCAAGCTCAAACCAATCAGACACCATCATTGTGGTTTGCTACCATGATTTTGGAGCTGGAGTTTGTGATTTATCAATAGATGAATTCTTTTCAACGGCCTTCTCGACGCTAGCATTGCATCAAATGATGGGAATATATCAAAAAGGGTTTTCTCAATAAAACATGATGATATCCACCGTAAATACTTAAATGCATGTTTTTGATTTAAACATGTCAATACTTTTTCTATAAAATGAGATTCAGCTAATATAAATAATAATTTTCCATAAAAAAAACATTACTTATATAGCTTTTATTAGAAAAATGAAAATAAAACAACAGTTGTAGAATAGTTAAAAAGTAAGTTTACAATAGTCATGCATATATATATATAAGAACATGATGCTCTTTATCAAAGACCTTCCAGCCTAGTGGTAAAGGCTTGGGCATGACATAGTCATGAACCCGAGTTCGAGCCCTGGGAAGGGAGTGTTGGCGACATTTAAGTGGGGCCATGTTTAGCCTCCAAAATTGCCGGGGATTAGTCGGGCTTTGGCCCGGACACCCTTACAAAAAAAAACATGATGCTCTTTGCCCAAACCTTTTCGGCCGAGTCGATTACAGGTTTAAGTTTCCATTCCTTCACCAACTCAACTAGGTAAATCAAGTTCTTGGCTTTCAGTCAACTAATCGAATTTTCGAGCAGTTTAGTTTTTTCAGAGTAGTAGTTAATAATGTTTTATACCAACTGATTTTTTCAACCAGTCAAGATTATTACCATTTGTTTTTTTTCAAGCAAGATTTCTACAATGGATGTCAATATTTATAAGAAGAAATTTGAATACATATGCAACTTTCATCAGACCTTGTAATAAGGTCTATTGATCTGGGCAAAGAGAGAGTTGACATACAACTGAAAGTATGACAATAAAAGGTAAGCGAACAAAACCGACCAAAAAGTATAAATGAGGCAACACCATACATCTGTTTGAACTTCTCCAGTTCTCCTCTTCAAATAGTACAATGGCACACTCCACAAGCCTAATTGTGACTGAAGTTCTAAATACAACTCCTTATACATGAAGGGTCTCGCACTGCAACATTGATAATGCCACTTGTGACCCATATTCATCTTTTTACTCTTACACACTTTTTTGGAAAGTCGAGGGTCTTCGCCTGACCCCTCCCCACCCCGACTCCACCACCGAGTGGGATATACTTGGATGGTTTGGTGACTCCTGGACCATATGTCTCAATCACAACCTTACATGAATACCAACTTTTGTTAATCCAAAAACAAGAAAATCAAAATTACTGATGTTTATGGTAATTTGTACTTATAGAGACATAATTTGTACATTTATTTAGTTTTGTCAAGTTATGTTCGAAGAAGGGTCTTTTATAATACATACGTATTTATGATATTTTATAATATTATTAATATCCAAAAATATTCAATAATAAACTTATTTTGTATGGAAGTATTAACATTCTTTTTGAATCAAAGGAGAAATAAAAAAAACCCAAAAAGATGGGAGCTACGTTCGAGTTAAACAGATCTAAATTGGTTATGGTTATTGATATGACCTAATATTTTTGGTAGCCCAAGAGACAATTTGTTGACTGATTCTCTAATCAACAAACAGTACTAGATAGGGGTGCATAAATACCTGGTCAACCCTACACAAAATAATTTAATCTGAAGCCACTTGATGTCTAATCGAGTTGTAAAATATTCTAACCGTAAGTATTGAGTTAGAATTGGACCGTGCTCATTTGAACTCAACCAAACACGATATTTAAAGAAATCTTTTTTTATTTGTGTTGATAGGGAACGAAAGAAAGAAACTTTTCATGTTCTTGAGCGGAAGATAAAGGAAATAAAATTTATTGTTTTTACAAATATACCCTTATTTATTTTCTAACAGATTGTAATTGATGTATAAATGCTAATTTTATAAATATTTATAATTATTATTATTTCTTTCTTTTCCTCGCTTATTTGGGAGGAAAGTTTTAACAATGGACCTTAGCATTACAATCAATTAAAACAATAAATGTAATGGAATGACGGAGAGATTATTTGGAAAAGTCGTTTAGAACCTTTAATTCATTATGTTTACTCCAAGGATCTTCGAGTTACATCTAAGAGGACGTTTACCAAATGTTAACTGGGTAAGTGCTAATAGGGTCGGGGGCCGTTTACAAAACACTTGTTGGATAAGTGCTTATGGGGCCAATTTCTTTACAGGATGAGCATAACAATGACCAAGAATCTTATAACCTGATAAAAAGCAAGACAAAGATCGAGAATCTTACCCGGTACGCAAGGGTGGTGATTCTTACCAACAATCAATTTTGTTGGTCATGAATGTTAACAGATAAGCACTTATCCAATAAGTTTATGGTAAACGATCCCTGGGTTAATGGTTGAGTGGGTGTACGGTATGCACAAGTCAATAGCTAAAAAAGGACATTAGTTAGAAAAAATAGTTATGCATGTAGCCCACATTTTGCATAAATCGAGGATCTAATTATACGACAACCCATTATCGCTTATACGTAGCTAGCATATGCCTTTCAAAGATCAGTACAAATTAATTTCGTGAACCCTCACAAAGATTAATCGCTCTTGTTTGAGAATGAGGGCATGTCTGTTTCACTCAAATTTGGTTCCAACGAAAATGGTCCATCGTAAGCTTGCAAGGATTCTTATTTTCCTCGGGCTCCTTATAAGTCATTGGTTCGAGTTTCTTTAGAACCACCAAGAGGTTTTTGATTTTTATGTTCTATGACGTTATAAAATTAGTCAAATGAAAGGCGCACATTTATTTAATTTGACTATATAAGATCTCTTTAGAAGCTTATTGAATAAGCCACTTCTATATCATTAAGTCACTACAAAAACCGTTAGATATAACAACTGACTAAATAAATTGCGAGTCATGTTAAGCTTGACTTGTTTTGGGGGATTATGATCTGTTTCTTGACTTAAAAGGAAAACAAATAACGTGAGTTTAAACATGATTCAAGAAACTGATCAAAATGCAGCAAGAAAACTAAGAGAAAGTTACGGTTGCAGTAAAACTAGCATCCTTCCATGGCGTCTAGGTTCTTTATTGCTGCTTGGACTCAACCCAGAAGACAAAGCTATCTTATTTACGTCAGGAGTGTTCAGAAAGGACTACAGTTCACACAGACATTTTATCAAACAGTTTGTGGGCACCATGAGTTGGCCCTCTTCTGTAACAATTTTCGCCCAGTTTATGCTCGGTTTTTTGCCACAACTCCTGACGAAGTTGTCCAAAGAAGACTCCGAGTCCCATTTCCACCGCTGATATTTGCGTTAATGGGAGGGTGTCGAAGCCGAATAGTTCAAGGACCAAATCCGACAAATAAGTCCACTACGTGTAACGTGTCTAATACCTTCCCTTAAAAAATTCAGACTACATGCATGCCGCCACGTACCCCTCCCTCCGGCACGTACCCACCAACTCTATACCTTATTCTCTGAGGCGGCCAATCTCTATGGTAGCAGAAATTGATTCAGTTTTTCTCCCTGAGACGAAAAATGGTAAAGCTAGCGACGGCGCGTGAGAGTAGAATGTACGGGCCGCGGCTGAGCCGGAACAGAGCGGAGTATATGAACACCGGAATTTACGTGTTTTCGACGATCGTGTTGCTATGTGGGTTCGTGGCGTTGCTGTCGTGGCAGCAAAAACCAGGGGCGGTGCTGCTGCTGATAGGATTGGCGTTGATAATAGTGGTGAACATACACGATTTGATCGCACATCTGGCCGGTATCGATTACCGGATCGGGCTGATGGAGCTGGATATTCAACTTCCATTGGTGGAGGTCGCCGTGCCGGTGGTTCAGGCCATCGGAGGGATTCTCTTCTTTTTGGGAATTATTTTTCTTCTCGTCCAGGTAAACAGTGGTTACAAAATAATAGCATTACTGTTGATTTACATCACTTATGGTCCGTTTACCAAATGTTTACTTAGGTAAGCGTTTATTAAGTCATACTTTCTTAATATTTATCGAAACATTTATAATTAACGTTTTATATTAGAAAACAATCGATATATATAAAAAAACCATATATTCGTTAGATTTATGGTTGATAGTTTGTGTGATTTATAACTTTTTTATGCTTTGTATTTGATTTGCTCATTTCTTTATATATACTAGAAGGGTACTCGCGTACTGCAAATTTCGATTTTAATGTTTATTTTTATTTCGTTTTTGTAGATGTTATAATACGGTTTTTATGTGGTTTTGAAAAAATGATAATACTTTTATTTTTGAATAAAATATAAATTTAAAGATATCATATAATTTCAAAATAAATCTATCAATATTAATATCAAATTAACTATTTAAAAATTTTTGTTTTTTGTGTAATTTATTTAATTCAATTTTTATTATAATTTAATTTAGATAAGAACGAAGCAATTTATTTTTGATTTTATAATATAATTTTTTATAAGAATAATAATTAGGGTTAAATGATTAAAATAGCAACCTACTTTCATAAAATTTCTTGTTATAGCATTTTACTTTTGTTTTTCTTTGTTATAATAATGTACTTTCAAATTATTTTTTATTAAGGCATTGTACTTTAAAAAATCTACCCATAATAACAATGGGTAACCTGTTACCTTTTAAACCGGTTAACCCTTTGACTTTTTTGCTTGTGTGGCTTTAATGAGGTGATGTGGATGCCACATCATTTTGATGACTTAACTAAAATTAAAATAAAAACTTATTTCAAATTATTGTTAGTGATTTTTATTTTTCATTGCTATGATCTCTAAAAACATTTAATTTTTTTTACTTTTTCTTATTAAGTTGCATTCAAATTAAATATTCTTAAAATAAAATATTTATTAAATAAATATGAAACATTATTTTTGAGATATATTTTGTTTGTAAAAAATGTAACTTTTCCTATT